TATAAACTCTGATGTAAACTACTGCAGTTTCCTTGCCACAGAGAAGCAGGCTTCTTACTTTGTCTAGTAGAGTTCCTCCCTCGTAAGACAATTCTCTAAAGTGCCTAGTGATTTTTTAAAATTTTTTTGAATCCACTTTAGAAGTGGGGTCTTGGTGTTTCTGAAGAAGTGATTCATGTTGAACACTTAATGTTTTAAAGACTGACCAGTAGTCTTAAGTCTTGAGTAAAAGACTAGTTCAGTTCTGAAACACAGCAGTGATCTGTTGCTTTTGACGAAAATCAGTCCCCTCCTTCGCCCATCACTTAACCTGGCTAGATTATCTGATTGCTTTGGGTATCCTGTGTCTCTCAAACTTAGTTCTTCCCATCACCTTTCTCCTTCCTATTGAAGTAGGTGGTCACTGGAGGAGGGGCACATTGTCCTGACCTGTACAAGTGTTGGAGACACACTAGTGAAGTATTGGGTGGTAGAATTCCTTAATGTGAGAGATGAGGTGACTGTGCTTATAGCCCTGCCTCTCAAGCAGAAAGAGAGGCTCTGGAATGAGCTGCTATTACCTGTGAACTAGGAGGTGAACTGGTGAACACACATGCACCAGTTACTTTGGAATAGCTGACGCATCTTGTGTGGAGGTGATGCAGTAGTGAATCAGGTGCAGTACAAGGGTTGAATGACTTCTATCTTCTGTTGACTCCGGTTCACTTAACCAGGACAGCAGGAGAACCAATGAAGTGTTCAACTGTTCAGTTTACCACCGTGAAGACGGTACAAGGCATTTCTTCTTTTGAGCCAAGCAAGACTTGCCTGTTAGCTGCCCTGCTTTGTAACATGACAGTGCAATACTGGTCTTTATGCTTTCGCTTTTTAAAGAGATCAAGTCATATTTGGTCTGAATGTGTTTTAATTTCTGTTCTGAAACGTTATGGTACCCTAGAAGGGAGGAGCCGAGTTAAAATGGGCTGCCTTGCACACGCATGATTTACTTAAGTGAGTGTGTTCGCTGCAGTGAGGCATATAAAGGAAGAACTGGCTTTTGTGGCCAGTGAGGAGGTGAGAGGAAGCTGTGGAGCATATTAACCACAGGAAGAGCTTCTAGCAAGCTGACTTGTGCCATAAACACGGCTTTGCAAAATACAACAAGAAGTTAAAATGCTAGAGGTGTGGTACTGTGCAGTGTGCTTTCAAGGCAGAAGACTGAGTAACTGCGGCCAAACAGAAAGCAGTGTTCAGTAACGGGCTGCAGGATTGCCAGAAACGGGTGTGGGAAAGGAAGAAGGACAAATTTCTGTGCCATGGTGATTTTACAGGGTTGTACTCACCACTGGGGGATACTTGCCAGTAGTATGGCCTTGTAAGTGCACCTTATTTTATAGATAGCCCCCCGCACCAAAAGGTTATACACAAATGCACATGTAATCTGTGCATGTGTATATATAGTGGCTCCAGATTAGGTAGGAGGGGAGAGGGAAGGAAAGAAGGAAGGCGCTAAACTTCAGTGTTCCTAGCAACAACCAGCTTAGCAAAAGCTTGCAAATAACTTGTATGCAGGAGGAATCAGCTTTCTGGCCATTCAGTGCTAACAGTGTAATGCAACACGGTTAAGTTGTAATTGGCCAGGACTTTTCCTGCAGCCTGTAGGTGATACTTCATTTACACTGAGGGTAGCTGGCACACTTGTTCTGAGTTAAATGCATTGCAAAACAAGGCTTTAAAAAACAAGGGGAAATCTAAATCCCAGGGAAATAATGTTTTTCTGTTTTCAGGACTGCAGTGCTTGTGGTGTTTACATGTCTTGCAAAAACTGTTACTGCTTATGCATGCCAAAATGATTGTTCACAACTGCTTTGAAGTAAAACTGTACCTGTCCTTTTTTATGTGGTAGTCTTGACTGCTTCAAGTGACAAAATACTGGTGCCAGTAATTTCACATAGGAGACATTTAAGCAGTGTAGCAAATGGGGAGATCTAGCCACTGAAGATGACTTCCAATTCACTTACAAATTTAAAACCAAGAGGGCTCCTGCAATCACAATAATTACTTTGAACAGTAAACTGCTGAAGATGCAGCAAAGCAGTTCTGAACTTCCACAAAAGTGTGTGTTAATAGCTTTGCTAACATGCTGTATGTTTCCTTGCAGATGGTTCCACCAAGGCCCCAATCCCTATACTGGTACGCAGGACTGGCTTTATTCTGGCAACTACTGGGACAGAAACTACTTTAACTTGCCTGATATTTATTAAAATGCAGTAAGGAGCCTGTGACTGATACAAATAAGTCTTAATCTGTTTTAGTGTTTTTTCCCTTGTTTTACTTATCTCCTGAAAAAACTGACATGTTATCAAACAGAATATTAAGCAACTCCACAGTAAATCTGGTGGTACGTGACCTGCAGTCCCATAGGTAGGGGACTAATTTTTCTGGCTGATGGTGGGTCACCATGGTTTCGAGCTGCCCTGTTTGCTGAATACACCTATATTAGGTTGTGGTGTATGAGGAATAGAACACCTTCGGCTGTTCTGTGAATACTTTCTTTCGTAGATAACATTGGCACAAGTAAAACTGGTTTTATTTATTGTGACATGGGAATGTTTAAAAGCACACACAGTAGTTGCAATATTCTGTTCTTAAATGAAGAAGGGTGTGTCACTTTTGTAAAGATGTAATTTTTCATAAAGTGACTTTTCTTTTACTAAAGTAACTCCCTTAAATCCTGAGCTCTGGTCAGAGATTCCAGAATTGTTCCTGTCTCTGGAGCATTAATGCAGTTGTTTAAGCTGGTAACATTACTCAGAGGTATTTATTCAATGTCTTGTGCTGTGTGTTTTGAATTTTGCTCTCCTGTTTTGCTACCAACCTTATGGTTTAAGGAATTAAGAGCCATTTAAATATCTATGGATTTTATTTGAACTGCACACTAGTAACAGGTTTTAAAAAAATCTGTTTCATGCACTAAAAGTTCTGGTGCCCAGCACCACTGCAAAAAGGTAAGAACCTAATCAGTCCAGACCCAGTGGAACGTGGCAGCGGGGAGAGGACCTGTGTCTGTACTGTGCAAACTCCCTGGGAGGAAGTCTTGTGCATTTCAAAGGTAGTAGAGCACCTCAGTGAGGCCTCCTGTGCACAGCTGCTTTACCCCTTTTCAGTGGGGTGCATTCAATCTTAGAGTGTAAGTTTATATTGAACTGTGTACAGAGCTTCTAGAGGGCAAGCTGCTCTTTGTACAATATTTTAACTGCTGTCTGGAGGTTAGTGTTAATTGAGTAATTTAATTGCTACTAAATAAAGGCTTCAAAACTTCTTGCATCTAGTCTAAAGTGACTGGTGTTTGACAGTGCTGACCCTTTCTGAGCAAGCCTAGTCCAAAAGCTGCTGCAATTAAGTTGTATAATGTGCTTCAGGGACCACTTTTCCCCTAAGCAGGAACAGTCTGCGTATGGCAGGGTGGGGATGGCTGGGGAACTGAGAGCTTTCTCCTTGAATATGCAGTGAGGCTGCAGCTCTAGTCTTGAGGGTGGACTACTGAAACTGTCAGTAAGGCAATGAGATGCTTTCTGGTTTTATTCTGTGCACTACTAGAATTACCCGTGTAGTGATGCTGAGACATATTTGCGTAGGTAAGGGAAAGCCTTTTCTTTGGCAGTCTTTCATGTGAGGGCCCAGTCCTCACGGTGACATCTCACAGGAGATGCAGAAATTGAATACCTGCACTGTCTCTTGGAAGTGTCGTCTCTGCACTCAAGCCTCTACTCTGGCCCGCATTCCTTGAAGTCTGACAATTCCTGTGCAACTTCAAGTGGGATTCTGAGATACGTAGAAACAGTCAAGCTGTTGGGTCAGTACTTTAGCAGGACACACAGCACTGAACACTTAGTGCTAGGAAAAACAAAGCATTTGGTTCCTGCCTGCCCACCCAGGTTCAAGAGAGGGAAACCACTATACAACATCAACTTTTTTCCTTACTTCTGTTTCATAACAACAGAGGGGGTTTTTTTAGACCTATTCATACTTCAAGAGTCTGGCATATTTAAGTGACCCTAGCTGTAGTTGTAAAACCTCTAAAGCAAAATAAAGGTACTCTTCCTCAAAGCATAACCTCAGCTGTCCTCCTTGATAAACCTGTAGTTCGAATGAATTGACCATGTGTAAGAATAAGTCCTTCCTCTAGTTGAAAGTATAACTGTCCTCTTGCTCCTGACATTTGTGTACAGTTCCTTTCTAGAATATAACCCCAGCAGTATAGACTCCACCTGGTTACACTGAACTAACTTTGGCTCTGTATGTAATCTGTCATTATTGTTGGGGCTTATACATAGACCATGTTAGCACAGTGAAGAAGCTGGGCCACTCTGCAACTGGAGCAGCTGCAGCAGATGTGTCTCAGTGGTCGTAATTCACACAAAGTTAACATTCAGGGTGTTGTGCTGTGCTAGGAAAGTACAAAATGCACAGGAATGGAGTTCCAATTGCTGGGGTTTTTGCAGCATTTGCATTATTTGATTTATTGTGATGTCAACTCCATTCCTCCGGAACTCTTCCAGAAGTTCAAATGGTCTCTCTTCTCAACCTGTTTAAAAAACAACATGAACTCAGTAGAAAGTATGCAGCAAGAACTATGGTAATTGCTACCTAAATGCACTCTTAAGTTGAGGGTATTTTACCACACTGTCTATATTACATTATGCCTGGCCTGAACCTTAAGGGTTCAAGATGTGTATGAATGCAAGATTAAAAGCTTAGTTTACTTTAGACTAAAACCAGAGCAAGACTAGTACTAATAATTGCGAAGTGTAACAAGCAGAAGGCGGCATTGGGGTCTGTTATGTATGACAAGTAGTTTAACTACTGGTCTTAAACCTTATTTTATTTTGAAAAGGGTGAAATTAAGCTTTTAGTAGTAAAATCCAAACACTAGCATCACCCTATAGCAAGACCCATGCAAGAAGCAAGCTTACTTCTTCATGACCCTGCTCTGGGCATGGGCCCAGTGTAATGGTAATCTATCCTGCAGTACCATAGCTTTCTGCAAGAGCATTTATACCTGTGTGCTTACCATCAGCTGGTGAGCTGTTCTTTGCAGATATCACATCATCCAGAGGAATGGCAACTGAGAAAACATGGGGCGTGCATGGCTTAGCTGCAGTTTCCTCTGCAGAATTAGAATTGGGGCTTGCTGTATCTGTTTTCTCATCAGCTGGCCTGGCAACTGGGACAGGGGCTGTAGTGAATCTCCTCCTAGCACCTGTACCTTGCTGTGCAAAGGCAGCATGGCTAGGAATAGGTTTCCAGTCCCGTATGTTCTGAATGTTAGAGCCCACTAAAATGAAAGGTGGAGCATCTCTCTTCTTGCATTTTTCTTGCATCATGTAAATTGGAGCAGATACTTGTGACAGCTGAGGAATAGGTTTCCAGTCCTGTATGTTCTGAATGTTAGAGCCCACTAAAATGAAAGGTGGAGCATCTCTCCTCTTTCTTTCTTCTTGTACCACATAAACTGGAGCAGATATTTGTGACAGCTGAGGAATAGGTTTCCCAGCATGTATGTTCTGAATGTTAGAGCCCACTAAAATGAAAGGTGGAGCATCTCTCCTCTTGCTTTCTTCTTGTATCACATAAATTGGAGCAGATACTTGTTGATCTTCCCCCCTGGAAAGACTGAGGGTTGCCTGGGAATAAGGAACACCAGCCCCAGCAGGAGAAAGGGATGGTGGTGATTTTTGACCTTGTCTTGAGTCACTTAGGCGATAGAGGGTCCACACACTAGAATGTAGTGGTGGCTGTCCTGCTTCACTTGATGCCATGGCTACAAAGATAAAAATAGGAGTGCTGGTATCAAAAGCGGTGAATTCCAGTCATACTGTAAATCGTTATGTCTAAAACAAACATACCTACACTTAGTGAAAGCAAGCATGTTAGAGAACAGAGCTGGGCTAGCAAACATTGTTTGGCATGTGGCTGACAAACACCTGCAGCCTAGAAAAAGTAAAACTGTTTATGGTCAGAGCAGAGGCTCTTCTGGGTAAGAATTTGTCTGGCATTTCTGAAAATAAAGTTTGTCAAACTCGCCTAAAAGTTTCTTTTTTTTCTTAAAAGGGCTAATGTTAATTTACAAATCTGTCTAAGCTCAGCTCTCCTCTACAAAGTGCTTTGCTGAGACATCACAGCTGTATAACTTCTGCGGCCTGGGACAGGGCTTGGATAGACTTTGCAGTACCAGGGGGACTCGAGGCAGGGG